CCATTTCTCTTATTAAGGAATCTTATTTTTATTTATCATAAATAGAAGAAATGCCCTTTTACAATACAGCTTTATCTTCTAAGAATTTTCTTTATTCTTCTTAGAATTTCATTTATCTTCTTTTCATTTCTTCTGCATCTTCATATTTTTATTCTAATTCTTTCTATTTTAATTATAATTACTCAAGCATTTTTCTATCTAATTCAGTCCTAAATCAATTAAATATAAATAAAGTACAATAATTCTTTTTTTCTAAGATTCAATATATCTTTTTCATTTCGTTAAATTTCTTATCCAATTTCATACATATGATGTTCTATTCCATACCATTCAGACTTTAAACCCTTTTTTATTATAAATGTTTATTTACTTGAACATCTTTTGGATAATGACGTCTTGTTTATGTTTAATTTTATGTAACATTCATTGGATCAGTTTCCATTTTTATTAATAATAATTAATAATAAATAAAGAGTATTAATTCTTCATTAAAATTATTTATAAAGAAAACAAAATAATTGAAAATTGTCAATTCTTAGTTTGCAAATTATTAAGATCAAACATCTAATTAAGCCATAAGTTTATTCCCTTTATGGATGTCTTTATATGTTTCACTTATCCAGCCTTATCAGCAACTGCTTTTAAGTGGGAAGCAACTTAAGCAAATACTTATGCATTTGCATTTATTAATATAATGATATTTATATCACTATTCAATTTTCTCTTGTTATTATTCTTCCCTCTTTTTGTCGATACTATATATTAAAAATTTTCTCATTTTATATTTGATATATTCCCTTTTATATTATTCTTATTAAAAATTAATTATTATTTTTGCATATGCTCTTAGATTTCAAAAATATGAAGTGACATATAAATATAATAAACCAAAAATTATTATATAATTTATTAAAGGTAAGAAATTTGTTCATCATAAGATTTAATTTTATAGCAATCACTTCATAAAATTAATCAATTTAATATAAATAGTCCCTTGTTAATATAGAAAATAAAAATTTATTTAATTTTTTGAGATTAATATTTTTTGTGATAAGACATAAAATATATTCAATGTTTTGGGAATGGTGTTTTTTGAAATTTTCGATGTGTTCTATTTTATAAAGGAGTTTGAAATTGAACTTTAACCACTGAACTTGGATGTGCAGATTATGATTGTCTTTTTTTTAGCTAATGAGTTGACATCTCTCTTTTTTTAACAGATTAACAATTTCTTTCTGATTATTTTCTTTGTGGTTATTCTTAATTCTTTGATTCTTTACAATAATCATCTATTTCCTCAGCATGTGTTGAAATATAAGAATTAAAAATATTCTTCTCATCATGACCTTCTTTAACTTTCATTTACTTAGATTTTGAAAGAATTTATAATTAGTTTTTTTGAATTTTTTAGCTCATTATTTTTATTTATGAATATTCTACAAATAAAAACAAGCTGTTAAAATATAAATGTTTTTATTAAAGCATTTAATAACAATTAATCGATTTGTAGTAAATTACTGAAATCTTAATTTTTTGAAAGTATTTCTGCGTCGAAAGATTTCAGCATTACATTAAATATTGATAAAGAATATATATTATTAATATTGTTAATTAATTTAAGGTCGAATCTTTGTAGAATTTAATAAAATCTAGTTTGTTAGAAAAAAAAATATATAAAGAGTCTTTTTTTGTTTCAGTAAATAGATTATAGTAGATATCAATTTGATTTATAATAATATCAATGTTATTAAAAAATCAGAGACAAAAAAATACTTAACAGAGTTGGATATTTATAGTTTGATATATTATATTTTTACAATTTTTAAGTTATAAGTTTAAATGATTAAAGCTGAAGGAATTTTCAAATAAAATTAGAATTTAAATAGTTTTATAAATTTAAATTTCATTTATTTACGAATAAAATCTTCCATTAAGTTTCATATTAATCTATTTGAGCCTGAATCTTCGCTTAAAATGATATTTTAAATTTAAAACTTTTTTAGCATTGCTTTTCAAATTTATCATATTTTGAATATATAAAATAATTTGTTTTCTGCCCTTATAATTATTTTCCTCAAAAATTTATAAGCTTCTAAATGAATTTTAATTAAAATTTCCTAGTTACATATTTTTACTCCAAATATTTAAATTAAGATTAAAATCAGTAAAAAAAAAGATACCAATAGTTATAGTCCTTTTTCGAGTTTATCATATATCCAAAACCAAAAGCTTAATTTCATAGATAACTATATTAGTTTAATGCTTTCTAAATTGAATTTTTTTTGTAATAATTGAAAGATCAATAATGATATGATGCAAAACTAATTTGTTAACTATTAGAAATATAAACTAATTGATTAATACTAGCATTGTTTATTAATCCCATATTTTATTTACTTAAAAACCTTGAATAATTAGAAATTTTCAAGATAAATTTTTTGATAAATAAAATTTATAACTTGCTGTTTATAATTTTCACAATTTTTAGATCCTCTTTGCCTTTTAAGTAATAAAAAATTTTTATCAATTAATATTATAAATTTTATAATGTGTATTTGTTTCATTGTAAATAATACGACTTTGCTCTAATTTTTGTAATATTTCTTGGGTCCTAAAAAATAGATTAATAATAATACTAATTAACGAGAGTATGTGGAACTCAACTATTAAGATGTTTAAAGTTCTGAAATCAGTAATTATTCTTTTTATTCAAGTTTACGAATAGATTGTTCTGTTTATATTCTTTTTTGACATTCAACTTCTAATAATTAAGAATACTCCTTATTTCTAAGTTCTTCATTTGATTTTTATCTAACTCTCATTCTAAGTTGTGATTTTGCTCTTTCTTATTTGAGTTTTTTATATCTGACAACATTTTTAATAAGTTCTGATTCTCTTTATTACTATATTTGTCTTTCTAATTCAAGTTACTTAATTTTCAAATTCTAGGTTTGTTATTATTTAATCCACTTTTATTGCTCTTATGTTTTTTTGCGTCCTACTTCACTTTAATTTTTTTTTGTCTTGGCCATAAGTTAGGTTTGTTGTATTTTCTCTAATTTTTGCATATTTTAAACAAGTCTCTATCATAATAATGTGTATATAACACTCTAATTAAATGAATCATGTTCTGATTATGCGAATTGTTTCATTTCAACAGACTTCTATTACAATTTAATTCTTCTAATGACTTTGAGTTAATTTTGTTAAAGAAGATTGATTCTATTCATTAAGAGACTGAGTTATTATTCGGATTATTTTCGACTAGATAATAATGATACATACCCTTCGCGTGCTTATAACAGAATATCACGATTATTCATATAATTTAAATTATTAATGGGTCAAAGTTGTAATGGATGTTAGTGTTAGCATCGTTCTAATGAAGTGATTCAAGAGATTTATGTTAAAAAGAAACCTAAGAAAAAGGTAGAAAAATAAGATAAGGGTGAGAAATAATAATAAAAGAGAGAGAATGTTAAGAAATTGATTGATGATAGTTAATAAGATAAGAATAAAATTTCATAAGGAGATGCAGCAGTAAAAATATAAAGAAATTGGAAGAAGCATAGGAAATAAAAATAAAAAGAAATAAGAGTTTAGAGAGTAGGAGGTCATATGAAATAATAATACTTTAAAGAAGAGAGAGCAAATTCATAAACAGCTATAGATGCTAATAGAGTAAAGAGTGAAGCATATAAGTGATAAATAATGTGAAATTAGATTTCATTCAGGTGCAATATATGAAGGAGAATGGAAAGATAAAAAGAGAGATGGATTTGGTATATAAAAATGGCCAGATGGAGCTAGATATGAAGGTTAATGGGTAGAAAATAAGGCTTGTGGATAAGGAAAGTTTTATCATGCTGATGGAGATTTATTTGAAGGAGAATGGAAAGACGATAAAGCAAATGGTTGGGGAATATATAGTCATTTTAATGGAGCTAAGTATGAAGGAGAATGGAAGGATGATTTATAACATGGAAAGGGAATAGAAACTTGTATGATCATAAGATGTTATGATAGGGTAGGATAAATCAAAATATTGTGGAGATTATATTGATGGAAAGAAATATGGTAAAGGTAGATATGATTGGGCAGATGGTTCATATTACGAAGGAGAATGGAAAGATAATAAAATTAATGGTTTTGGTACATATAAATGGGCAGATGGTCGTGGTTATACTGGATAATGGTTATGGAATAATATGAATGGAGCAGGAGTTTATAAATGGTAAGACGGTAGAAAATATGATGGATAATATTTAAATGATAAAAAACATGGTTAGGGAATTTATTATTGGGCAGATGGTAGAAAATATGAAGGAGGATGGAAAAATGGTAAATAACATGGCACTTCTAAATACTATTTAAATGATGGAACTATTAAAATTGGTATTTGGGAAGATGGTAAAAGAATTAAATGGTTAGATGATTTATGATTTTATAATATATTTTCTTTCTTTTTACTATTTATTTATTTTACTCTAATATATCAGATCAATAATATATAGATAAAGTTTTATGATGTGGAACTATGTCAAATCTTTATTCTTCACCCATTTACCATAATATCCAATCTATTTCTATACTCTTTAATTTTTATCCTAATTTTTCAAATTCTTCCTTTATCAATTCTACTGCTATTACACTACTAGCTCTTATTTCAATCTCATATTCACATCCATGAGCTATTTCTATTTAATTCTTTATTTTATTTTACAAATCTTCATCATATTCTAAAACTTTTAATTAATTTAAAATCTATGGTACTCTATAATCTGGAAACATTGTTAAAATTTCTATATCATTAAATTTACCCAATCCTTCTCCTTTTAATGCAGCATATATATCTCCTATTAATATTTATGAACGTTTATAAAAAAATATTTATCTACCTTAATATATTGCATGATCTTAAAATCCTAAAAATTGAGTTGTTAAA